TAATATATATATATATAAAACCACGGAAGCACAATTGGGAGAGGTGGACAGAGCATTGTCACCCTATAACAGGAAGTGACCCCAGGGATTATTTTACTGAAAATTGCAGCTTAAAAAAAAAATTACTTTTTGAAAGATCAGCATGTTAAAGCTTCTATGTGATTTCAGTGATCAGGTTTACATCTAGTTTTGGTCCATGTCTGCTTTTGGGTTTCTTATTTTCATGGTCTGGTGACCGTTAATCCCTTTTCAGAATCTGAAAACCTGGATTATCGACTTGGAGCCATTCATTGCCTGGTGTACAGGCTGCCAGACAATCACCGGGAAATGCTGGAGCTCATCATACGACACCTCTCAAGGTGAGCAGAGGACAACAGGCTCTAAATGTTCCGTATAACATAGCCAACCTTCGCTTTTTCAGTTGAACTGTAAAGTAGAAATCCAGGTCTTTTAGGTCCCACCTCCTGCGTTTAAAAGGAAGGTCAATCTTCACTTACCCTTTCCACACTCCAGGGCTGTCTCCAACTTCCTCTTCAGTCCAGCACAGGTGGTCCCCTTCAGGGCAGAATGACATTGTCATTTTGCCCATTTCCCTTTGAGCCCCAGCCTGTCATTTACATCACCTGCACCATCACGCAGGTTGGGCTCACAGTATTCCAGGGCTTGGTGGCACTCACACATCATTATGTGAGCTCCGGTGAGTTCCGGAAAAATGTCTGCCCCACCGTTGCCACTGGAAGAAGAAGCAAAGCAACCACCGATGATATCATCATACTGACTAGAAGACTTCAAAAAAAAAAAAAAAGGGGGCGTTTAGGTTTTTTTTTAATAATGGGGGGCATTGGCAAAGGGGTACATTGGCAGGGTGTTGGAAAGGGCTTAAGCATTGGGGGTTAGGTTCTAAGAGATCCACTTTAACATGCTCCCTTCCCTTTCTCCAATCCATCCCTTCTCGTTGTCACTGATCTCCCCCTTTAAGCCTTCTCTGTTATGTCATCTCAATGTTTGTTTTTTTAAAGGTCACACTTCTACACCCTGTCTTCCCATTGGCCGAAATTCTCAGTCCTTCCATTTTTTGGTACTTTCCATCTGTTTTCCTAGTCAGGCCTACATGAGCCTTCTGGAGACCAGTTTCCTCATTGCTGGTGACAACTGTCCAAGACACCATAACACAGACCACATTGACCACCATTAAATGTCCAGACCTCTCGAAGGATCGACAGCTCCTGCCACAGGCAGGGCCGATCTGTTTTAAATAATGGTGGGGCATTGGCAAAGGGGTATGTTGGCAGGGGGTGGAGGAACATCATGTTGGAGGGTTGGGTGTTACATTCTGAGAGATCTGCTTTAATGTGTTCCCTTCCCTGTTTTATGTCCTTTCTCCCATCCCTTTGCCCCCTTTTGCCTTTGTGTCTTGTTGTCACTGCTTTGCCCTTTAAGCCTACTCTGTTTTTTCATCTCAATTTTTTAAACGGCTACTCTTCTACACCCTCTCCTCCCTCTGCCCACAGTTCTTAGTCCTTCCATCTTTTAGTACCCTTCATCTGTATTCCGAGCCAGACCTACATGAGACTTCTGCAGACTCATGGACAAAGTGTCTTCCAGATCCTTGCTGGCCACAACTCACCGAGACATCGTAACACCGACCACATTGACCACCATTTAAAGTCCAGATCCCTCAAAGGATCGGCAGCTTCTTCCACAGACAGGGTGATCTGTTTTAAATAATGGGGGCGATGAGTGAAGGAGTACATAGGCAGGAAGTGGGGGGACATCATGTTGGAGGAGCTTGAAGCATTGGGGGTTACATTCCAAGAGATCCACTTTATTGTGTTCCCTTCTGTGTTTTTAGGTTTTGTTTTTTTTTTAATAATGGGGGGCATTGGCGAGGTGTGGGAAAGGGCTGAAGCATTAAATTCCAAGAGATCCACTTTAACGTGCTCCCTTCCATTTCTCCAATCCATCCCTATGCACCCTTTTGTCTTTCTGCGTCTCACTGTCACGTCCATCCCCCTATTAAGCCTTCTCTGTTATTTCTTCTCAATGTTTTTTATTGTTCACTCTTCTACACCCTCTCCTCCCATTGCCCCCAATTCTCAGTGCTTCCATCTTTTGGTACTGGCCATCTGTCTTCTGAACCAGATCTACATGAGGCTTCTGAAGACTCATGGACAAAGTTTTTTTCCATGACGAGTTTCCTCATTGGTGGTGACCACTGGCCGAGACATCGTAACACCGACCACGTTGACCACCATTCAAAAGTCCAGACCTCCCAAAGGATCGGCAACTCCCGCCACAGACGGGGCGATCTGTTATGTATGAAGAGCAAAAGCAAAGGACGGGGGCACCTTGTCCTCGTGAAGTATGCAGTAAAAGTTTGTTGTACTAATGTATGTACATATAAATGAGTCCAATCAACTTCTACATACTTCACAAGGACAAGGCGCCCTGTCCTTTCATTCTGCTCTTGATGCACAAATGTGTCTTAGGAATTGGAACATCTCAGAGTTTTCTGTCATTGTGTTTCTACGCACTAAAATTCGCATTCCGAGTTCGTTTGCCGGTGTGAATCTCATTTCTTGTTGCTCGATTTACATTTCAGAGTGTGCGAGTACAGCAAAGAGAACCTCATGTCCCCCTCTAATATGGGCGTCATCTTTGGTCCAACTCTGATGAGGGCGCAGGAAGATACAGTTGCCGCAATGATGAACATCAAGTTCCAAAATATTGTGGTGGAACTTCTGATAGAGCACTGCAACAAGGTAAGCGAAACTGTCCCCTAGAGAGTATCTAAACCCCCAAAAACAAAAATATGATATATCGCAGCCTGCTAGATGTGCCGGCTGCCTTTGTTTTCTTTTTTTCAGGCTTTTTGTCTCTTAACCCCTTCATGACTGAGCTAGTTTTCAGTTTCTGTTCATAAATGACTGACACACTTTTTACATTTTTGCTGTGTGATTCTTCCACAGCAGTAATATACTTTCTTACTAAATGTACCCACACATATTATATATTGTTTTTTAGAGGACAGATAGGGCTATATAATTATATCACATATGTGTAGCTAACCCCTCACTTAGTTTGAATACAATAAAAAAAACTAGAAGAAAACACTTTTTTCACAAATTTTGATTATTATTTTTTTTAGAATTTTTTTAGAATAATTATAATATAAAAAATATATTTATCATTTTTATTTTCCCAATTTTATTTTACACTTTATTTTTTATTTTTTACTTTGTAAAAAAATTAAAAAAACTTTTTTTTTCTTGTCAGTTTATATCAAGCAGTCACTATGACTGCTTGATAAATTAACTTTTTAAATTTTTTTTGGCTATTAGGCTGCTCCAAACTTAGGAACAGCTAATAATAACCTTAGAGACTGATCCTGACTTTAGTCAGATTCAGATCTCACTAAAAGTTCTTTGATCGTGCCTAGACGATCAGAGCTGATACATTTCACTCAAAAGATATACATTGTATCTTTTGAGTGAAATGTATCTAAACAACGGCTCTCCAGCTGTTAAAACAAATAGCAGAGAGGTAAGTCACTGCTACCTCTCTGCTATTTTCAGCTGTCAAATACAGGATCACAAATTGCGGTCCCATGTATTTGCATGTAACGGCTTCATTCTTTCATTAGTGAAAGAAAAAAGCTTTTACAAAAAGCTTAATTATTTCATTAATGAATGCCTCAATACTGAGGCATTCATTAATAACTGGTAACTGCTGAGAATCAGCTGTTACCAGCATTACAAAGCCTGATATAACTCGTCACGTACAGTGTACGTGGCCAGTCATATAGGCACAAAGTGCCGGGACGCACAGTGTACGTCTCCCGTCACGAAGGGGTTAAAGTGGTTCTCCGGGCTAATATAAAAATCAACATGGTATAAGCAGGAGCATCCCTATGAGGCAGACTGAGGCCTTTGCCTGAGGCGGCATCTCTTTTGGGTCATGTGGGGAGCGGGACTAAGAGCGTTTGCAATGCTTGCAGTGTGCCTGCCGTCCCCTTTCCACCTTGAGGATTCCAGGTTACTAAGAGCCAGGCGAGAAGATGTGTTAGGGCCATACACGTCTCCCCGCCCAGCTCTTAGCAACCTGGGATGTTCTGGCTGGCGTCCCGCCCAACTCCTGGCAACCAGTGACGTCACTGGTTGTCAGGAGCTGGGCGTGATGCCGGCCAGTGCGTACCAGGTTGCTAAGAGCCAGGCAGGGAGATGCAGTATCTGGCAGTGCTGTCCCCTCTACTCATCTCCCACTGCTCTGATTGTGTGCACCACCAGCATCACCCCCCCTGGGCTGGGTGCACCCCTGAATACCGCAGTCCAGAAACAAACTGGTGGCCTTTTCCAAACCCTAACTGACCCTAGAGATTCTTACCTGGGACGCTCTTGCCTGCATATTGCCACGCTCCTGGCAACCAATGATATCTCTGGTTGTTAGGAGCTGGGCAGAATGCCGGCTGGTCCCAGGTTGCCAAGAGCAGGGCGGGGAGATGCAGAGCCTTTACACGTCTCTTTGTCGGCTCTTAGCGGCGTCAGTCTCCACCAGCATCGCCCTCCCACTGATTGCATGCACCACCAGCATCACCACCCACCCCTGCTGCCTTAGGTTGTAAAAAGGCTAGGGACCCCCCTGGGTATAAGGACAGTACTATGCATGTTCAATGATACTAGCCATTTATCATTCTTATTCATATTTAAACTGTTGATCCCATCGGTTTCTTGGAGTTCACTGGATTTCCGGCAGACAATGTTTTGCTGGCTGCTGCTGAAATGACTGTTTTGTGCCTTTTATTTTTTTTAATGTTTTTAGTTTTGCATTTAGGATTTTAACCCTTCCCTCTTCTGTGCGGAACTAGAAAAAGTTTCGGCTGTGCATACACTTTAACCACTTGAAAATTTTGAATGTAAGAGATGTGTCCTAAAAAAACTTCAACAGGCGCCTCTCTTACATCCAGCTCCTCACCCCCCCCC